CATCCCTTCATGATAAAAGTCTTGGAAAGATCAGGAATTCAAGGCCCCTACCTAAACATAGTAAAAGCAATTTACAGCAAACCAATAGCCAACATCAAGCTAAATGGAGAGAAACTTGAAGCAATCCCACTAAGATCAGGGACTAGACAAGGTTGCCCACTCTCCCCCTACCTATTCAATATAGTACTGGAAGTCTTAGCCAGAGCAATTAGACAGCAAAAAGAAGTCAAAGGGATACAAATAGGAAAGGAAGAAGTCAAAATATCGCTATTTGCAGATGATATGATAGTATACTTAAGTGACCCCCAAACTTCCACCAGAGAACTCCTAAACCTGATAAACAACTTCAGCAAAGTGGCTGGTTATAAAATCAACTCAAACAAATCAGTAGCCTTCCTCTACATGAAAGATAAACAGACTGAAAAAGAAATTAGGGAAATGACACCCTTCACAATAGTTGCAAATAATATAAAATACCTTGGTGTGAATCTAACCAAGCAAGTGAAAGACCTGTATAACAAGAACTTCAAGTCTCTGAAGAAAGAAATTGAAGAAGATCTCAGAAGATGGAAAGATCTCCCATGCTCATGGATTGGCAGGATTAATATAATAAAAATGGCCATCTTGCCAAAAGCAATCTACAGATTCAATGCAATCCCCATTAAAATCCCAACTCAATTCTTCACAGAGTTAGAAAAGGAAATTCTCAAATTCATATGGAATAACAAAAAACCCAGGATAGCGAAAACTATTCTCAACAATAAAAGAACTTCTGGAGGAATTACCATCCCTGACCTCAAGCTGTACTACAGAGCAATAGTGATAAAAACTACCTGGTATTGGTACAGAGACAGGCAGGAAGATCAATGGAATAGAATTGAAGACCCAGAAATGAACCCACACTCCTATGGTCACTTGATCTTTGACAAAGGAGCTAAAACTGTCCAGTGGAAAAAGGACAGCATTTTCAACAAATGGTGCTGGTTCAACTGGAAGACAACATGTAGAAGAATGAAAATTGATCCATTCTTATCTCCTTGTACAAAGCTCAAGTCTATGTGGATAAAGGACCTCCACATAAAACCAGATACACTGAAACTAATAGAAGAGAAGGTGGGGAAAAGCCTCGAATACTTGGGCACAGGGGAAAAGTTCCTGAACAGAACTCCAATGGCATATGCTCTAAGATCGAGAATTGACAAATGGGACTTCATAAAATTGCAAAGTTTCTGTAAGGCAAAGGACACTGTCAATAGGACAAAACGACAACCAACAAATTGGGAAAAGATCTTTACCAATCCTTCATCTGATAGAGGACTAATATCCAATATATACAAAGAACTCAAGAAATTAGACTCCAGACAACCAAATTACCCTATTAAAAAATGGGGTATAGAGCTTAACAAAGAATTTTCAACGGAAGAAACTCGAATGGCCGAGAAGCATCTAAAGAAATGTTCAGCATCCTTAGTCGTCAGGGAAATGCAAATCAAAACAACCCTGAGATTCCATCTCACACCAGTCAGAATGGCTAAGATTAAAAACTCAGGTGATAGTAGATGCTGGCGAGGGTGTGGAGAAAGAGGAACACTCCTCCATTGTTGGTGGGACTGCAAGATGGTGCAACCACTTTGGAAATCAGTGTGGCGGTTCCTCAGAAAATTGGACATAGCATTACCCGAGGATCCAGCTATACCACTCCTAGGCATATACCCAGAAGATGCTCGAACATATAACAAGGACATATGCTCAACTATGTTCATAGCAGCCTTATTTATAATAGCCAGGAGCTGGAAAGAACCCAGATGTCCTTCAACTGAGGAATGGATTCAAAAAATGTGGTATATTTACACAATGGAGTATTACTCAGCTATTAAAAACAATGAATTCGAGAGGTTCCTAGGTAAATGGATGGAACTAGAAATTATCATCCTGAGTGAGGTAAGCCAATCACAAAAGAAGACACATGGTATTCACTCACTGATTATTGGATATTAGCCTAGAACCTTGAAATGCCCAAGATGCAACTCACAGGCCACATGAAGCCCATAAAGAAGGAAGACCAAGTGAGGGTGATTCGGTCCTTCTTAGAAGGAGCAACAAAATACTCAAGGGAGCAAATATGGAGACAAAGTGAGGGACAGAAACTGAAGGAGGGGCCGTCTCAAGACCACCCCACCTGAGTATCTATCCCATGTGCAATCACCAAAGGTAGATGCTGATGTGGAAGACAGGAAGTGCATGCTGATAAGAGCCTGATATGGATATCTCCTCAGAGGCCTTCAAGAGTCAGACATATTCAGAGGCAGATGCTCACAACTAGCCATTGAACTGATCATGGGGTTCTCAATGGAGGAGTTAGAGTGAAGACTGAAGGAGCTGAAAGGGTTTGTGGCACCATGAGGAGAGCAACAATACCAACCAACCACAGCTCCCAGGGTCTAAACCACCAGCCTGGGAGCACTTAGGGGGGAATCCAGGGCTTCAGCTGAATATGTAAAAGTGGAGGGCCCTGCTGGGCATAGGTGGAAGAAGAGAACCTTGACCTCATGAAGGCTGGATGCCCCAGGGGGTGGGAATTTTGAGGGTGGGGAGGGGAGAGTGGGGGGGGTGTAGATAGAGGTTACATCCACAGAGAAGAAGGAGGAGGGGCGAGGGGATTGGAGGTTCCGAGGGGGTGGTGGGGGATGGGGTAAGGGGACAACATAGGAAATGTAAATAAATCATCCAATAAAAAAAAAAAAGAATGGAAAAAAAAAAAAAAGATTGGTGGTGAAGGCCTAGAATATACTAACACTTGGAGGTGGAGGCAGGAGGATGAAGAGTTTGAGGGCAGCCTAATCCACACAGTGAGACTCTATTTTTTTTCCTTTTTAAAAGAATAGCCTTCACAGCTTTGATTTTTAAAACTAGAAACTTAAATAACAACAGCTAGCCTGAGTGGTGGCACAGGCTAGCAATGCCAGCAGCACTCAGGGTATGTAGAGAGGAGAACTGGGAGTTCCAGGCCAACCTGGGCTACAGTATGAGACCTTAGTTTTTAAACAACTACAATTTCCAAGATGAAAGAAAACAACTAAAAGAGAAGACTCAGTCTGCAGTGGTGGCCTACAGTACATCACTAGGGTGGAGTCAAGCCTGAGGTGGGAGCACAGGCCCACAATACCAAACTCCAGATGTGGAGGGAGAAAGATCAAAAGTTTGAGGATAGTCTGGGCTATAGAGTAAGACTCAGTTTTTTTTTTTTTTTCGTTTTAAAAACCATCACAAATTCTTAAGATTAAAAAAAATTACAAGTAAAAGATAAGGTCAGGCCTGGGGTGGGATCACAGGCTAGCTATACCTACACTCTGGGTATGGAGGTAAGAGAATCCCAAATTTGAGGGCAGCCTAGGCTACAGAGTGGGACCCTGTTGTTTTTATTCCCCACAATTTCCTCAACTTAAAACATTTAACAGGTTTAAAGAGATAGTCAAGACTGGGGTGGTGACATCAGCCCTGATGGGGCTGAGGCCAGAGGATGGAGTTTTAGAACAGCCTAGGCTACATAGCGATGCCTTTTTAGAAAAGAAACACACATGATTCCCTAGATTTAAAACAATTAAAACATGAAATGAGAAGGTTAAGTCTAGGCCTGTAATATCAGCACTTAAGGTGTAGAGGAAGGAGGGCCAAGCATATGAAGCTAGCCTAGGCTACACATTGAGACTTTTCACAAGTTCATAGCTGTGATTAAGAGCACTGGCTGCTCTTCCAGAGGTCCTGAGTTCAATTCCCAGCAACCACATGGTGGCTCACAACCATCTGTAATGGGATCTGATGCCCTCTTCTGGTGTGTCTGAAGACAGCTGCAGTGTACTCATATAAATAAAAAATAAATAAATCTTAAAAAATAACATTAGAAGATTAAAAGAGAAGGCACTGCTTGGGTGGGCAGCACAGGCTATATAATACTAGAATCTAGGTTTGGAGATAGGCGGCTCAAGTGTGTGAGGCTGTCTTCCACTACATAGTGAGACCTCATTTTTGTAACCCCCCACAGTTTTACAGATTTAAGAAATTAGAACTTTAAAAGACAATGCAGAGGAGGTGGCACAGGCCTGCAATAGCAGTACTCTTGGTATGGAGGCAGGAGGATTGAAAGTTTCAGGTTTGTGCTTTTTTAACCCCTAGAATTTCGTGGATTTACTAAATTAAAACATTAAAAGATAAAGTCAGGTCCAGGTGGTGGCGCAGGCCTGTAGGCACTAAGGGAGTGGAGACTGGAGGATACAGAGGTTTTGGACAGCTTGGGCTACAGGGGTTTCTTTTGTTTTTCTTTGTTTTGTTTTGAATCGCTACACTTTCCTGGATTTAAGAAATCAAAAGCTTAAAAAGAAGGCCAAATGCAAGGTGCTAGCACATGCTTGCTATACCAGCCCTCTAGCTGCACAGGCAGGAAGCCCGGGCTACAGAGTATGCACCCCACCCCAATCTCCTACATTTAAGCATTTTAAAAAGTAAAGATAAGGCCACCCCTAGAGGGTGAATAGCACAGGCCTGTAATATCAGCATTGGAGAGTTTAAGGCAAGTGAATAAGGATTTTAAAGACCAACTGGTCTATATAGTGACATCCAGAGCCTTCCATCCAATAAACTCAGACAAAATAAAACAGAAAAATAAAAAGATACAGGGATGAAGGCCCCAAAATAAGATGCAGAGGAGCTTTCTCAGTCATTGAAACTGACAAGCAAGTGGGCATCTTATGAGTTTAGCCTGAATTGAGGCTGCCTTATGACCCCAAGCTGTGGCCTGGGTTGCTACTTCCCACTGCAATTCAGACACTTGCTTAATAAGTTTCTAAAGGTGTCACAAACAAGTGAATTGTGAGATGGGTACCAGAGGTGAAATCTTCAAGGCACCTGGGATCACCAGCCTCTTCTTGCCACTATGGCTCTGCCTCTCTTCTCCCTTCACTTCCTCCATCACATTTAGCCTCACATCCATTTCTGACTTCTAGGAAAGAAGAAATCTAAGTTTAAAGACTTTAAGAGCTTTTTTGGCAAGAAGAAGAAGAAAGAACCAGAAGAAGTCTTGGAAGGAACAATGCTAAAGTCAAGGTTTTCCAGCAGCAGTGTTAGTGTGTCTTCTCTGCAGCCAGGTCTGGAATCGCAAGTGGAGTCCAAGTAAGCCCAGATGGGGTCAGAAGCTGGGGCTGGGGCTAGGGGTGGGGCTGGGTCCAGAACAGGCACAAACAAGTAGAACAATCATACTCAGGGCTTACTGCTCATGAAGAGCTTGTGGCCCATTTCATAAAATCAGGAGGGTCCGTGTCATGCTGGAGCTTAGTCTTTTGGCCTAATTTGTTTGCCTCACCCCTAGGTTGCAGATCTGGATGATAAAATCTCAGAAAGAGGAACATTTTAGCATACGTGAGCTTAAGCATAGAATCTTTTGTTGCTGCAAAAGCACACAAACAAGCTAGCCAGCTCAATCCATCTTTCAGTTCCCTTCAGGACACTGGGTGGTCCCAGAGCTATGAGGAAGGTTGCTTCTCAGCCACTCACACACATTCACATTTTTTATATGTGATGTTCTGACTTAAACATCCTATTTCTTTTTCATTGGGATATCCTGTACCTACAGCTATCCCTGGATCAGATCCCTCTATGGAACACTCCTTAGACCAGTTCTCATAACATTGAACTACAGACATCTAGAGGTGCTGCACAGAGTTCACTAGTGCTCCTAGCCATCATCTGAGACTCTGCCATGCTAAGCCTCTCCCAATACTTCCCCAAATACTTCCCATGACATGATGACACTGAAGTATGTATGGTTCTTTAATGAGTGCATCTACCATAAGGACTTTCAGATAGCCTTGCCAAGGACTATTTCACAACAGAAGGGCTTGTTTTCACACCATACAAGCAATGCCATTGTAGGACATTGTCTCAAATTAAGATCATAAGCATCCTGTCTAAACCAGATGGGGATGGGGAATGGAAGGTCTGTCTGGTTTAGGCTGCATTGTTTTTGCAACTTGATAATGGCTATTTTTACAAAGATTGTAACTTCACACTCCAAAATGCTTCATTAACTCTGCTGTATTTGCTACATTAAGAAATGTCGAGAGAGATCCAAACCAGGTAAGGAAGGAGAGACAGTTTTGCAAGGAGCATAAGTTAAATAAAGTATAACTTAAGAGCCTAAAGATCACTCCTGGCTTTTGTCCCTTGCTTAATATGCTTGGACAAAAACTTTAGAGATTGCCACTCAGGTGTTTGGAAGTGAGTTCAGGCTTCTTAATCCATCTAAACAATCATTGCTGTAAAGAGACACCATGACCAAGGCAACTCTTATAAAGGACAACATTTCATTGGGACTAGCTTATAGTTCAGAGGTTCAGTCCATTATTGTCATGGCAGGAAACATGACAGTGTGCAGGCAGACATGGTGCAGAAGGAGCTGAGAGTTCTACATGGTCATCTAAAGGCTGCGAGCAGAATTCTGGCTTCCAGGCAGCTAGGATGAGGGTCTTAAAGTCCACCCCTACAGTGACACACCTACTCCAACAGGGCCACACCTTTTAAAAGTGCCACTCCCTAGGCCAAGCATATACAAACCATCACACTGAGTTCTACATCTTGTTCCAAAGACAAATGGGAGAAGACTGGCTTTTCTATACTCGGCAGAGTTTCAAAGCCCCAACAGTGACATTCTTCCTCCTACAAGGTCACACCTCTTAACAGTACCATTCCCTAAGGGCCAAGCATATTCAAACCACCACAAGTCATAACATTTACAGCCAGCTGGGTGTGGTAGCATAAGCCTATAATGCCAACACTGGAGAGGTAGAGGCAGGGTGATCTTTAGGAGTTTGAGGCCAGTTTGGTGTACATAGAAAGTTCCAGGCTATCAGAGGCTACATGGCGAGACTCTGTTCCATGCAACAAGCAAACAAAGAAACACACAAAACCAAACATTTTAACACAGTATAATCCAAAATTATACTGGTTTAACATTTCCATGTTGAGGTATGATAGTAAGAAAATATTGTCTTTCTTATAATTGAGCCATTATATTTTTATACGTGTAGAAAACACTGTAGAAAAACCCAAAGTGTTTCATTGGCATGCAGAGTGCAGAGTGCATGGGTTATGTATTCAGAACGAAGGTTGCACTGAAAGCTCACAATACAACATGGATGAACACTGCCAGAAACACCCCACATTTGTTATGCAATTGATTCTGAATCAGTTTTTCATCATTGCATGTTTATGAGTATATAAACCCTTAGAGGGTTCCAAGTCACAATTTAAAAAACCAGGGCTTTGCAATCATCATTCTAGCATGGATGGAGGAGGGGGACCATGAGTTTCTACCCCTACATGAGGAGCTATTGGCAGTTGATGGTTACTAAAGAGTCTCAGTTTTCCTAACAGGTGTGGCCTTTGGTAAGTTAACTGTGTCCCAGTGGGCAGCCCCACACCCATATGTATATTGGAAACACTAATTGGAGACAGTGAATTTAAAAGGGGGACATGAAGAGGAGAGGGAGAAGTGGGAAAGAATAGTAAGAGTTGGAGGAGGAGGGAGAGTAAATACTGTTTAGTTATTGAATCCTAAGTGGTCAACCCTGAAAACACACACAACAGGAAATGGTCTCAGCAGGTTATGTTTTTTATACTTATTCATATATTTATTTATATATGTGACAATAATAATTAAAGAAAAGGGCCATGAATTTGAGAGGGAGAGGACATGGGAGGGGTTAGACGGAAGATGGGGGAGAGGGAAATGATTGTAATTATATTTTAACAAAAAAATAAACTAAATATAGAATATATGAATAAAGAATATATGAATAATGTAATAACATAGAATATATGAATAAAGTATATAGAATATATGTATGAAATTCTCAAAGAATAAAATAAATAAGTAAATTTTAGAATAACAAGTTTTTTAGTCAAAAATAATAAAAAAGAAACTGTGCTTAAAGCAACCATCATGAAATGGTGACTAGAGAAACAGCTCAGGCTATAGGACTAACAAGTGCCCTGTTGTGAGGCTGTCAGGATTTGGGCCCTGAACATGAGATGGTGACAAGTTTGTGTAACAAGAAACTCCCTTGGAGGCAACTTGAGATGCAACAAAATAGAGGGAGCAAGAGCCCTGTGTGCTGCAGCACTAGCCTGCTGCTGGTGCTCACTCTCTTTCTGTCTTCTCTTCTCCCATTGCTTTGTTTCTTACACAAATATTTGACATCATTCCCCATTCGCATGGGCTTGTATCCACACTTGAATGTCAAATGCCTGAGAAACATATTACCATGTCCCCAAGGGTATCTTTAGTGCCATTTGCTGTTCTTTTGTTTCTAACATTTCTCCAAGTTGTTTCAACACACTTGGGATCAAGCTGGTCCCATTCCTAATAGGAAAGCCTTCCTAATTGATCTGAGGAAGGAACATATGAATGATGCATAAGGATGATTTGGAAAATAGGATAAATGTGTCTTTAAGGTCTTGTAAACAAAGGGAAAAAAACAACTAAGAAAAAACCCCTCTATCTTGGGGCCTGTTAGATGGCTCAGTGAGTAAAGCTACTTGCTGCTAAGCTTACAACCTGAGGTTCATTCTAGGGACCTACATGGTGAAAGGAGAGAACTGAGTCCCCAAATTTGTTCTCTCTGACCTATATATGTGGGCAAGCATGTACTCAGGCAGGCAGACAGACAGAAGACAGACAGACAGAAGACAGACAGACAGACACACACACACACACACACACACACACACATTAAATAAATACATGTAAAAATGAGAAGACAGTATCTGGGCAGATCCTTGAATTTCAAAACAAATCAAAATAAAAACACTCAAGGGAAATTTGAGTGTGAAAGATTTTTAATAACCCTTCCATTTCTCAAGATTGTCACTATGGAGTTGTATGTTATATGGACAAATTGTATGATGACTAAACCATCTCAGTAGAATTTTCCTGTAAAACACATACAAGTAATTTCTTTCTTTTATTTTTGGAGATTATGATATAATTACATCATTTCCCTGTTCCCTCTCATCTCTTCAAGTCCTCCCATATACCCCTCATTGCTTTTATGATGACTATGAACCACAACAAAGACCAGCATACACAAATAATTTTTTAACATTAAAATTAATCCAAGGCACAAGGCGGAAAATGAAAATTCCTCTCATTTCTTTCGGACCCTTTCTCAGAGGGATTCACCACTAATAGTCCCACCACTAATGACCTCCTGGACATTTTTCTGAACATAAACTATGTATGTATGTATGTATGTATGTATGTATGTATGTATGTACATGTATATGTGTGTGTATGAGTGTATGTGTGTCTGTGTAAATGTGCATGTGTGTATGTGTGTGTGAGATGTGTGTATGTTGAATGGGTTCATACTATTTTTTTGATTCTCACTCTCCATCTTAGAAATGGCTTTCTATGTCAGCACACCTGCATCTCTGCATCCTTCTGAGCTCTCTATGGTATCTATGTTATGAAAATACCTTGCCCTTCAATTATTAATCCCTTGTACTGCTTTTACAAGACTTTTCCTTTCCACATAGGCCCAAGAGCGGCTTGGGAGCCAAGTCCATATCCCATGACAGTGTTTTCTGTTCGGATCTTGAGCCTGAAAAAACAGAAGGCAAGCTATACTCTTCTCCAGAGCCCCAGAGAAGCAGCTCACCGAAGGTAACGATGAATTTGACTTCAGTCTGATTAGACACTATTTTTCTATACTGCCCCCTCCTCAAAAGAGGGAGGAATTTGATTCTGCTTATCAACTAATTTTATCTCACAGGGCTATCTTAAATCTCAAATAATACAATATATAAATAGACCTTTAACTATGTTATATGGCCAACACATAGTGTTGGCTGCCATGTATATTTATTTAACATACCCAAGGATACCATCATTATTTTGATACTGGACAGTTTTCTATTTATATGCTAGCATGCCAAACCCTGCAAGCTTTTCTCTTTTTCCACAGAGATCTCTTATCTCCAGAACTTTGCCTAGAACCACAGGAAGTGGTGGCCTTGGAGCTTTGAGTGGATCTGAGGGCCACTATTCTTCTAGCAGTGGAATCTGGGCCCCAGGCTCCAATTTTACTGACGTAATACCATGGAAATATGTACCATGGTCGGCTAAGTCACATAGACAGGTTGTCTTAGTTAGGGTTTCTACTGCTGTGAAGAGACACCATGACCATGCCAACTCTTATAAAGGAAAACATTTAATTGGGATTGGCTTATAGTTCAGAGGTTCAGTCTATTATCATCATGGTGAAATACATGACAGTGTGCAGGCAGACATGGCCCTGGGTTGACAGGCAACAAGAAGAAGAGAATGACACTGATCCTGTCTTGAACATCCCCAGTGACACATTTCCACCAAAAAAGCCACACATACTCCAACAAGAGCACACCTCTTAATAGTGCTGCTCCCTAGGGGCCTATGGGAGCCATTTTCATTCAAACCACCACATTTTATTCCCTGGCTCCCGTAGGCTTGTAGCCATATCATAGTCCAACTTCAAAAGTCCCCATATTCTATCACAGTATCAGCACTCTTTAAAAGTCCACAGTTTAAAAGTTTCTTCTGAGACTCATGTAATCTCTTAACTGTAATCTCCTGTAAAATCAAAAAAGCAGATCATATACTTCCAACATACAATGGCACAGGATATACATTACTGTTTCAAAATGTAGGGATGGGAGCATGGTGGGGAAATACTGGACCAAAGCAAGACTGTAAAACAGCTGAGTAGACTTCAAACTCTTCATCTCCATGACTGATATCAAAACATTCTTCAGATCTCCAACTCCTTTCAGCTTTGTTGACTGCAACACACTTCTTTCTATTGGGCTGGTTCTACTCCCTGTTAGTAGCTTTGCTCAGCAGCTATCCCATGACTCTGGCATCTCCAACATCTTGGGGTCTCCAAGGTGATCCAGGCTTCACCTTTACAGCTTCACACAATGGGGTCTCTAGGCCTCCATGCAGGGACACCCCTGACACATGCCTGGCCTCAGTGGATTTCCTTAGTTTTGGAAGGAGATTCCATAGCCCCTTTCTTGTATCCTTGACTCTAAAGCCAGAACCACATGGCCAAAGCTTCAAAATTCTGCTGCTTTATGGAGATGGAACATGACCCCCTCTTTCAATTACATCTTCATCAGCTTTCTGTTTTTGATGGATTCCTTTACTGCCTAAGAGTGGCTATTGTGGCACTTGCTCTATAGTCCAGGCTAGCCTTGAACTCAGACTCACCAGCTTCTGCCTTGTGAGTTCTGGAACCAAAGGCATGTACCACCACACCTGGTTCTAAGCTTTTCCTTAATTCCTTAATTCCTTTTCATTTTTCTTTAATTCATTTTCACAAGTTGGATGCTTAGCAGCATAGAGTTTTGCTCAGATGTCACCACTCCCTTTATTCCATGTAGCATCAGGTGTTTCTTTAATGTGTTTACACTTTCTAGTGCCCCCTTTTTCCTCCAACTCTACACTATGTATTTTTCCTTGCCTAGCTCCTTTTTCAGTACAGATCTGCATAAGACTGGCTGGCCTCTACTAGCCACACAGCACAGCTAGGCTGTTTGGAAATGTCCTATGCCAAAGCAGTTAATCCATAACTCTTCAATTTAGCCTCAGGCAGACTCTTTGGTCAAAGACAAGAAGTGGCCAGTCTTCACCAAAATATCAAAAGAATGATTTCTAAGCAACATACCAATATTATTCTCCTCTGAAGCCTCTAAGGCAGACCACTACAGTTCAAATCATACCCAGTACTACTGTCTTCCATGCTTCTGCTAGTATGGCCCATTAAGTCCCAATTTAAAGCACTCAGATGCTTTCCTTCCTTCCTTCCTTCCTTCCTTCCTTCCTTCCTTCCTTCCTTCCTTCCTTCCTTCTTTCCTTCCTTCCTTCCTTTCTTTTTTTTGTTCTTTTTATTTTTATTAGATATTTTCTTCATTTACATTTCAAATGTTATCCCCTTATCTGGTTTTCCCTCTGAAAACCTCCTATCCCATCCCCCCTCCCCCTGCTTCAATGAAGATGTTCCCCCCCACACAACCCACTCCTGATTCTCCCTCTTGGCATTCCCCTACAGTGGGGCATTGAACATTCACAGGACCAAGGACCTCTCCTCCCTTTGATGCCCAATAAGACCGTCCTCTTCTACAAATGCAGCTGGAGCCATGGGTCCCTCCATGTGTACTCTTTGGTTGGTGATTTAGTCCCTGGGCGCTCTGGGGAGTCTGGTTGGCTGATATTGTTGTTCTTCCTATGGGGCTGCAAACCCCTTCAGCTCCTTCAGTCCTTTAACTCCTCCATTGAGTACCTATGCTCAGTCTCATGGTTGGCTGTGATCAGATGCTTTTCTAATCTAAAGTCCCCACACATTCCTCCAAACAAAAGTGTGGTCAGTATTACCACAGCAGTATCCCAGTCCTTGGTACCAACTGCTGTCATAGTAAGGGTTTCTATTGCTGTGAAGAGACACCATGACAAAAGCAACTCTTATGAAGGAAAATATTTATTCAGGATTGGCTTACAATTTCAGAGGTTTAATCCATTTTCACACTGGTGGGAAGCATGGCAGACACAATGCAGGAGGAGCTGAGAGTTCTACATCCATATTAGCAGGCAACAGGAAGAGACAGTGAGCCACTAGGCCTGGCTTGAGCTTCTCAGACCTCAAAGCCCACCATTAGCAACACACTTCCTCCAACAAGGGCACATCTACCCCAACAAAGCCATACCTCCTAATAGTGCCACTCTCTATGGGCATACGGGGCCCATTTTCATTCAAACTACCATACAGCTCTATGCTTGAATTCTTGTCCCACAACTTACTGGCTGTAAGACCATGCTTTAGCTGTTTAACTTCTCTGAGCCTTCCCTTCCTCATCTACAATGTACAGTATTAATCTCTCTCTCAAAAACTTGCTTATGAGGATTGAGTGAAGTCGTTCAAGGGACTGCAGAGATAGCTCAGTGCTTAAGAGCACTAGATGCAGTTCCAGAGGACCCAGGTCTGATACCCAGCACCTCATGACAGCTTATAATCATCTGTAATTCCAGTTCCCGGGGACCTAATATCTTCTTCTGGCTTCCATTGGCACCAGGGACATTGTGCATAGACATACATGCAGGCAAAATGCTTATACACATAACATAAACATAAATACATACAATAAATATTTTTAAAAGACACTATTCAGGACCACCAAGCTAATATATTGTTGATTTAGAAATATATTTCAGGTGTGTTAATCTCAAAATCCACAGGCTTGCTATTACCCGCTTTCTAAGATGCTTTAATCCTTTATAGCTGTCCAGACACAGGAGCACTGTTATGGGCCCATTTTAAGTTTGTATTTGACACAAGGTAATTTGGGTTTATTTCTGATGCCTGTTTGAGACTTCATGTGACTAACTGTGGTTTATGTAGTGTGTGCAAATTCTGCTGGGTACTTTAATCTTGAAGGGTGGGAAGATAAACTGGAGAAAGTCAGCAGAGGATGTGGCTCTGTGGCTGGGGGCCTCTAGTGTTAGTGGACTGTTGTCTTCCTGTAGCACATTAGGCAAAACCTATTCTCCTCTACTTTCTGCTGTTCAGTCCAAAATAGCAATACCAGAGTGCATGCCTATAGTTGCACTCTTTGCTCTCTCATGGCCATGAAAAATGTCACAGGATGTTTCTTATATTTGGAAAGAAGCAGCGTAGGTTCTATATGCTTTCCCTCCTCTTTTAGACCCAGCAACAGAGAAACTCATGTAGCAGAGACATTCAGTTAAAAACTAGAGTTAATTTGGGGGAAGATTGCCATGAAATAGTCTAGGATCTTTCTTTCTCATGATGAAGGAGATAAGGGGAAAAACCCCAGTAATCCAAAGGCAAGTTTTGTTAAATGGCCAGTGTGGGCCTATCTATAGCTCATACATTGGGCCCAATCCTTTAGGCCTTCCTCTGCAAAACATACCCAGGGACAGTAGGGGGCGTTGTATTAGTTATTTTTCTATTGCTTTGATAAAGAGTATGACAAAAAACAACTCGGAGAGGAAAGAGTTTATTTCATCTTGCCCTTCCAAGTAAACAGTCCATCACTGAGGGAAGTCAGGGCAGGAACTCAAGGCAGAAACTGAAGCAGAGGGTACGGAGGGACAACTGGTTACTGGCTTCCTTTTCATGGCATGCTCAGTCAGTCTGCTTTCTTATTCCACTCAGGCCACCTTGCCCAGGGCTCTTAGTTGTCTACAGGCAATCTGGTGAAGCTTCTCCTTCTCTCTCTCTCTCTCTCTCTCTCTCTCTCTCTCTCTCTCTCTCTATATATATATATATATATATATATATATATATATATATATATATTTCTCTCTTTTTCCTTCTTAAGATTTATTTATGTATATGAGTATACTGTCACTGTCTTCAGACACACCAGAAGAGGACATTGGATTCTCATTACAGATGGTCATGAGCCACCGTGTGGTTGCTGGGAATTGAACTCAGGACCTCTAGGAGAGCAATCAGTGCTCTTAACCACTGAGCCACCTCTCTAGCTTCAAATGATGAAGGATTTTCTTAATTGAGGTTTCTCTTTCCAGATAACTCTAACTTTGAGGGGGAAAAAAAGGTCCAGCAGTGATGGCACGTGCTTTTAATCCCAGCACTTGGGAGGCAGAGGCAGGTCTCGGTGAGCTTGAGGACAACTTAATCTAGGACAGCTGGGGCTGCACAGAGAAAACTTGTCTTGAAAAAAGAAAGAAAGAAAGAAAGAAAGAAAGAGAGAGAGAGAGAGAGAGAGAGAG